CATACATACATACATACATACATACATACATACATACATACACACACTCACCAGAATAACCACAGGTCAGACTTACCTTTCTTTCAGCTCTTTTTCATCAGCAATTTCCTTACATGATAGCGGCCTTGTGGCTTTCAACAATGCTTCCATAATTCCAACATCTCGAGCCAGTGCAAGGGCAAAAACTTGATTGCTGTAATGCAACATCGTCAAAAACTTTTCACGATACTGTTCAGCCATTGTTGCTGCATCAACAACACACAGTCAACTCAAATGCAAACTTGTGGTCCCTGGCTAAGTCTTTTTTTTTTTTTGGTTGAAGCTCGTGATCAACCGTTACAGAAAGACGCAAATTGGAAAGGTGTATGCAGGGCTTCACTTCGATGAACTATGAACTTCCAGCAGCTCGGTTCCGGCTGATCTTTCGCTACCTTAGAATTACAAAATTACAAAGTCCTATCTGACAATTTTGTCCGCTTTGAGTTATCAAGACCATGATGTCAGAAACCAAAATGTTCTATGTATTCTATCAAAATTGAAAGATTATTCGGAGTCGTCATCAAGATATTCAAAGAATTGGAATCGAAAAGGCTTGACATGTTGTGAAACTCAAGATTTTTTACATAAAATTTCTCAAAATAACGTAGGCCTACGTCTGAGCTGATAGAACTTTGTAATTCGACTGGAGTAGCGTTGTAAAGAGGCTGGAGACAAACGTACAACTTGAAATATTGGCTTATTTGTAAATATATAGGCTTTCCCATTGTTATTGTCATTTTTGACCTTTGAACTTACTCCCCGAAGCTTTTCCTCACGAAAGGTTAAAACCCTCGATCTAGGGTTAAAATCTACGACTGCGACAAAAGTAGACCATGGTTCTGAGATCTTACCCATCATCATCCGGTGCCTTGCCGACTGGCGTGGACGATCATGGACCTCCACTTCACTCTTTGCGTTGCAGCAATGGTGTCCTTTGTTCTTGCTGCTCCTAGCCATGTTGTCATCTTGTCCAGTATCTTTTCCCTCTGTCTGCCTTTGCCCCTCTTTCCATCAAACTTGCCTGTTGTTACAATATTATTCTCCAATGCTTCTTTCCGCTTTGTGTGTCCGAAGAAATTTGCCTGCGAACGTACAATTGTGTTGCTATACTTAGATTACTAACAACAGAAGGGGGAACCAGAGCACTTGTTGATAAACCGGGAAAAAGAGATAAAGGCACAAGAAACAGTAACTTGTTGATACATACATACATACATACATACATACATATCTTTCTCTCTCTCTCTCTCTCTCTCTCTCTCTCTCTCTCTCTCTCTCTCTCTCTCTCTCTCTCTCTCTCTCTCTCTCTCTCTCTCTCTCTCTCTCTCTCTCTCATTTCTCATACACGGTCTACTTGTTAAGTTTCTGAGCCTGAGATTTTTTCTGAAATGTAATAGGCCTACATACCGTATGAGTAATTTTTATTTAATTGTAGCCGTTCACCCTTCAATAGTGTACATTTAGTTCCATATCTGAACATGTTATGCTCCATCCTCTAAACCTCCTTTTTCTGAACGACTGTGACTTGCAAGGCGTAAACCTTAAAAAACCCAAAGTAACAACAGCAGCAATAACAACAACAACAACAACAACAACAAAAACAACAACAACAACAACAACAACAACAACAACAGTAGCATCAGCACGAATAGTACAGCAGGAGAGCAACAGCAACAATAAACCTTTTTAAAAAATTATTATTCCTGTTCGTCCTGAAATCACTATTATGTTGTCTTTTATTCTAGTAAGAATTGTGGGTGTGTGTGTGCGTGTGTTTGTATATATATAACTAACATCAACAATCTTATATCCATATCCAATCTATGTGCCTGTCCCCTCTCTCCCCCTCTCACCACCCACCAGTAAGGAGAAAATTGGGGTTTCTTTCTGAACTTGCCTCCTCCCTAACCCCCTTAAAAAATAGGTCAATAACTCAACCAAAGATTATCTACTACGTAATAGAGAATCTTTAACTCAAGTTAGTATAAGAACGTATAGACTCAACCCCATCACTCTTCCAAAAGTAGGTTACGTCGGAGAAACGCCACTAGCAATTTTGAGGACGTTTCATTCTAAATGTTCAAAGAGATGAGTAAACCATCATACAGCATGATGGCGATGATGATGATGATGATGATGATGATGATGATGATGATGATGATGATGATGATGATGATTTATTATAATAATATTATAGGAATTAAAGTAGCGCTTATAATCCCTTACAGAAGGCTCGAAGCGCTATGTACAATGTAGATTTATCGCTCAACTGACGAATCAAAGATAAGAAAATGCACAATGTGAGATCAACAACAACAACAGAAATTACAACACACACACACACACACACACACACACACACACACACACACACACCAGTGGCGTCTTGTAGGGTGGGGGTTTGCATTTTCAGCCCCACCTGGTTATCCTCACCAAAATACTACCGTACTTCTCTGACTAAAATCAGAGCAAAATATTCCACAGAAATGTCTAAAGGGACAAATAAATAATAATGATGTATTCCGATAGAAGGGAAACTCCACGAACACCAAAACAAACGTCTTGAGGCACAAAAGTAATCTGATTGGTCTGTGTGTCTACTACTATTCACAACGACTATATATCTCCATCCAATCAGGCGCTCTTTCCGTTGGGGTGAATGAAATTTCATTGGTTTGTCTCTTAATCCCTGGCGCTTACGTTCCCACAGACTGAATACAACCGGGACATTGACCCTGCATAGTTCAAGGCCGAGATAAAGAAACGGATCGTTCTATTACTATTAGGCTCGCGTGTCATTGCCTTTTCAGTCATTAGGCACCCTTTATAATCTGAGCCATCTCAATGTTTGTTCACGGCAAGCCCCACCCTCTTTACAACCCCACGGTCGCCACTGTGATTGAACCATTATTTTGTTTTGTAAGATTCAAGCACTTGGTCTTGTCGAGAGCAAGAACTTTGGGCCAGTTCATGACCAGTTATTTCTCCCGACGAGACCTATTTTTGGAAGAGGGACAGGGTTGAGTCAAAGAGTGTTTTAAAATAATTACTACATGTACTAGCCTAAGCTACCGTTGAAAAATCTTTTGTGGAGTTCCGCGGCTAATTTTGGAAGGGAGAGGAGGCGGGTTCCATTATCCCCATTTTTGTCCTTCGGGGCTGGGGCGGATTATTACCGGATCCCTGTTATTACCGGGCCTGTTATATGGTTTCCACTGTAGACACACATTAAGTGCCCTCCAGTTAGTTAAAAAGAGGTCTTTTATCACATATCAGACTCATCGGGAAGTCAATTAAGAATTGAGATTCTTTGTCCAGGCAAACAGTTCGAATATATTTGAGAAACTGTGACTGTGTGGAAATATATAGGTGGAAAGAAGAACAAGAAATACCCTGAGCAAAGTTATGACAAACTTAAAAAATGAGAATTAGAAAAACTGAGCTTATCAGTGAGGACAGGCGAGGAAAAGCCTAACATGAAGGAATGGGGTACCATGACCGACAATGTCTGCTCCAGACTTAATTGAAACCTAAAGAAGAAGAAGAAGAAGAAGAAGAAGAAGAAGAAGAAGAAGAAGAAGAAGAAGAAGAAGAAGAAGAAGAAGAAGAAGAAGAAGAAGAAGAAGAAGAAGAAGAAGAAGAAGAAGAAGAAGAAGAAGAAGAAGAAGAAGAAGAAGAGAGAGAGAGAGAGAGAGAGAGAGAGAGACAGACAGACAGACAGACAGACAGACAGACAGACAGACAGACAGACAGACAGACAGACAGACAGACAGACAGACAGAGACAGAGACAGAGACTGAGAGAGACACAGAGAGAGAGAGGAGAAAGGTGAAACATCAACAAGACAGTGTATCTTGTGTTTCAATCTTTATTTCCAGCTTTATCAATAAATGCCCTGATTTCTCCACTTCTTTTTGCAAATCTAAGTAAATGTTTAACATAATACGTTCACAGTACAGAAAAGCTGAGTACATACTAGATCTAGATCTAGTTCACAGCAAAGCAAAGACCTCAGAATAATGGCCCATTTTTTAAAAAGTCCTCGTCACTCGTCACTGTCGTAGATTTTAACCTTTCGTATGAAAGAGCTCCATTGAGTAAGTTCAAAGGTCAAAGATGACAATAATAATGGGTATATAAATAGGCCTATATTTCATGTTGTTGTTTTCTCTTTGGCAAGGGTCAGCCGGAACCGAGCACCTGGAAGTTCATAGTTCATCGGAGTGAAACCCTGCACGCACCTTTTCAGCTTGCGTCTTTCTGTGATGTTTGATCACTAGCTGAAACTACCACAAAAAAAAAAAGAAAGATTTTGCCACGACTAGATCTACAGGTTTGCATATTTGCGTTGACAGATTATTGACAGCATTGTTGATACTGCAAAAATGGCTGACGAGTATCGTGAAAAGTTTATGAATATGTTGCATTACAGCAATCAAGTTTTTGCCCTCGCACTGGCTCGAGATGTTGGAATCACGGACGCCCTGTTGAAAGCTACAAGGCCATTAACCTGTAAGGAAATTGCTGACGAAAAAGAGCTGAAAGATAGGTAAGTCTGTCTGTCTGTGGTTGTTCAGGGGATGTGGGGGAGAGGGGGGGATGCGCGCGTGCGTGTGTGTGTGTGTAGTGTGTGTGTGTGTGTGAATGTGTGTCAACAGTAAAGGATTTGTTGGGAGCAAGGTAATTACAAAAAAAACTCATGATGCATTGCTTTCATTTTCATCTGAGTCAAACTGCCTGCCTATTTTTGGCAGCAGAACTATAGGGCGGGCGCTTTTTCACCCCGCAATTGTTATTTGGGGGTTTGGCTCCAAGGCCCAGAGAAGGGGGGATATTCCAGGGGGCATGCCCCCCTGATTTTACCAATTTGATGTTTTGCAGTTTTTAGGTTTGATATCTTAGCTTGCTGCGCATCAAACGTATAAATCTAGATCTGATCTAGGCTCAAATAAGGGGGGTGGGAACTACCAAAAAAGCATGGTATCTTAAAGTATACACACATGACATGGCCCCGAAATCTAAAACTAAAGCCGTAAAGCTGTCGCAAATCAATTATTTTCAAGAAAATTTCAAACCTGAATGCAAAACATCAAATTAAATCTATGGGGAATATTTATAATAATACAGGCTGGAGCCCTGCAACCCCAATTTTTTTTTTTTTATAAGGGCAGGTTATATGCATTTAAGTTTTGTTTTTTGTTTGGGGTTGTTGTTTTATTTTGGGGGGGGGGGGGGGTAAGTGTACGGCACTTGCAACTGCATCTTCTTAAGGTATAAGCACATGGGACACAGCATTACAGTTTGGAAGGAATTAATTTTGAATTTTGCTCGGGTGGCGGCCGAAGCCTTGGACAGCTCTTTATTGATTTTAGGGCCACCAAGGTATCTTTAACGTTAGCAACTTGCTCACAGGTGCTCCAAGTTTTTTTTTCACCCTGATCCAAGAAGGCTAGAGATCTTTTCTAATTACTTACCATAAGATTAGGGGTTTGGCTGAAAGTCAGCAGTAAGAAAGGAGATGCTATACAGTAGAGAGGCAGTGGAGAGAATACCAGGAACCCAGACAAGGGTAAAAATGGTTGGGAGGGGGGAGGGAGAGAGAGCAGAAAGTAGAGACGAAAGTAATAATATGCGACGTGAGGCAGCTCTCGAGACTGTGCGCCGATTGCCTACGTCCGACCTCGATATCTTCACTGACGGCCATGCCACCAACGGCTACAGGTTATGTGGAGGAGGATACTGGTGTTTAGACTAATCTTCTGGGGAGGAAACATGCGTATCCGTGCCCGCGGGACTATACGGAAGCAGCTACCGAGCTGAAACTACCGCCCTGCTCCGCGCACTGCAATGGCTGGAAAAACAACCACGTTCTCAAAGAATCCACATCTTCACAGACTCCCAGTCAGTTGTTCAACACTTAATGTCCGGAGTGACTGCAGTTCGTACTGAGATAGAGGACAAAATGTGGATCACTATCTGCCAATGCTGTGAAATCCACGGACACCTTCACATACAATAGATACCAGGACATTGCGACATCTACGGGAACGACAGAGCTGACGCCCTGGCCAACAAGGGAGGCCGCCTTGACCAGTCCAACACTCCAGTCGATATTGCGTCAGCAAGCTCGTGCATCTCGCGTTACATCATTGCCCACGCATGGGAGAAAGCGCGAGTGCACGACTCCGTCGGGGGAAAGGTGAAGCCACCACCGGAGAGGGACAAAGAGAAGGACCTTACCGTCAGACAGAGAAGAGTGTTATCGCAGCAAAGATGCAACGCGAAGAGCCCCATCCTGCGGACATATCTCCATGCAATAGGCTCCGCTCCCAATGATTCCTGTCTGGCGTGTGGCACAAGTCCTGACGACCTGCATCATGCACTGTATGAGTGCCCGCAGGGGGAAGCACATCGAGGCCCACTTATGGAGAACAACGCGAGACCGGGCCCGGATGTACTCTGGACGAGGCCACAAGAGGTTGCTGCTTACCTGTCTGCCTGCGGCAGACTGCCGCCCTCCTGTCTGAGGCCAGCCAGAAGAAGAAGAAGAAGAAGAAGAAGACGAAAGTAGATGACTGAACATGTTTAGAGAGCAGGAAAGGTGAATGGAGAACATTTTTTTCTGAAGAAAATTTTCTGCCTTTGTCAGGTTTCGTACCCGAGACCTTTTGAATGAGATGCGAACACTGTAGCCTACCGAAAGATCAAGCCCCTTAATATTTTACGGCGATGTATCGTCAAAATTCACTTAAAATGGATCGTTATGAATGAGAAAAATGCTAAATATAACTATTGTAATAAGTTACATTTAATCTGAGCATGATATGAGATGAGGGTGAAAGCAAAATTAAAATCAGAAACAGAATTATGTTTTAAAAAAAGGGTTTATAAGAGCAAAAGTTTAATGTCATTCTTCCTTTGATGCCAACTGTTTAAAAGAGATTCAATTAAAAATGGTGCATGATTGCCTGCAGGGATGAAATCGCCTTACCGAGTTGCCAATATAAAAAAAATATATACACATCTTTTCATTTTGTGTGAATCACAGTACTTGTTCGTTGTAGTTTTTGGTCTCTAAGAGTATCCCATAGTTTGACCTTTTAAATGTTACGAACCTAGGGGCTTTCAATGAGTTTTTACCTTGCTTCTGAAAGAGCAAACTAGAAAGTTGAGATTTAAGGCTCACGACAGCACTAGTTCTCTACATGTTATACCACAGTCACCTTGCAAATGACACATTTTTCTGCCTTTGTTTGACCTTCAAGTCATTTTACTTCATATATGACCTCCAATGAGACACAAAGCATTCCTCAACATGATGGAAATGCTGTCCTTTGAGAACTTTTTCAGATATTTGGGAAAGTAAAGTAGGGGGGCCAACACAAAGGGTGCCATATGCTGTGAATAGGGTGTTTGTGGGGCAATTTTGTAGTCTCACGTTGCTTTGCTGGTTGTGAAATAACTGAATTTGTCTCTGTTGTTCCTGAATATCTTATCTTTTTTTCCACGCTTGATATTTTCCAGTGAATAAAAAAGAAGATATGTTTCCACAAACTAGGAAGACATGTCAAATGCAATGTGTCTGTTTTACCTTCCTGGCAAAAATGACCTTCATGACCTTTACCCCCAATGAGATTGAAATTCCTCATATGATGTGAGGAGTGTGATTTATTGTCTGTTGGATTCAGAATCCCGCGGCTGTGATCACTAAATTTAACCTTACCCTTATACAGAAACTGGAAATTTAAGTCTGTTCAATCGACACTTTCATAGATAGAAAAGAGAGTGCAGACTTATCTTTTACTTTATAACGTCGAACTTATTGCAGCAATTATCACTGAAAACCTGTCTCAACAGCAATCTGATGTAGGGGCCTACCTTTTTAATTCCTCCAGAAGTTACTGTTTGTGTGTTTAATAAGAACAAGAAGCGTTTTAGGCCTCCCAGAATGTGGAGGGACTTCAATTTTTATAAGACATACTGGATTCTCAACCATTTTGTCCTCCTCTCGATAACTTATTAAATTATAAATAGTTTATAGGATTGTAAAACGCTTCCTAATTTCTGTCATATTGTGTGTAAAATTCACTCTTTGGAAAGGTTTCAATTTAAGACGACAAGAAAATAGTGCTGACAAACATATTTGTTGGCGACCTGCATTTATTTTCTAGAATATAAAATCAAAGTGTGCTTATGAGTGAGCCTACAAGTCTGTAGGTTATTGTTTAATGTACTATGTACTTATTGTTGTGTATTATATAGTTATAAAAATCATGTACAGTCTCATATGTGTCAGGACACTATGAAGTTTTTGGATATAATTTTATTTCTAAAATATTTGTTCTGCAGATATGTGCAAGAGATTCTTGGAAGTTTAACCAGCAGTCAGATTGTGGAGTTACAGACTAATGCAAATGGCATTACAGAGTACTTCTTTAGTGAGGCTGGCAAAGAAGCTCTTAGTTCTGGTGGAGTTTATGAGAGAACACTCATGTTCAATGCCCTCATGGCCAGTTACAAGCCAGTGAGAGAGTGTGTTTACCGGGATGGTCCGTGCAGTAAGTATTTTTGAATACTGACGTGCTGTCATAAGAAGCAGTTTTGACTAAGTGTAAGCGTGGACTTAGGCTGTTCATATGGCCTGGATTTTTAAAATATCTATAGCCTATAGTAAGTGTGGTACTTAAGGTGCTTGTTTGCTTACTGTCTCTCTCTCTCTCTCTCTCTCTCTCTCTCCCTCCCTCCGTCCCCCCCCCTCTCTCTCTCTCTCTCTCTCTCTCTCTCTCTCTCTCTCTCTCTCTCTCTCTCTCTCTCTCTCTCTCTCTCTCTCTCTCTCTCTCTCTCTCTCTCTCTCTCTGTGCAGCAGACACCGAACAAATAATGTACATGTATAATGTACTCGACTTTCTCGATCAAAAGAAGTTTGGTTTCAAATTAGAGGCATTTTCGCTTAATCTTTCATGCCATACCGAAGAAATGCAGGACAATTTCAGGAAAATACACTTAACTCTACCAAGCACACACTTTGAAAAATGGCCAATTCGTTCAAATGCTCGTCTGTGTCATCTATCATCTATAACGTACTGTTTGCCGAATAGGTTATGCTGCTGTGTAGAGCCTAGAACACCGCAATGTTTGACTTTACAGTCTAGCACGCAATTCATTACATAGATATATGTCAAGATTAGCTTATCATTGTAATGGTGATCAGTAGCCGGTGAAAAAAAAAATGTGACATGTTTGTATCTTTACTGACGGTCGACGCTCGGACCACTTGTGCCCCCTCCCCTCAGACACACGCACACATAGTCATACGTGTGCTGGCCCCCTGTCCCACCCCGACACATACTAAGATATGAGTGTGTGCTAGCAAAGTGTGTTTTGGTATAATGTAAGAAGGCCCCTGATTGGTAGCATAAGGTATAAACAATAGGCTTACTAAGCAAATAATGGTACACGATGCAGGTGCTATGGATGATTTCCAGGAATAGATAAGGGTCGTTGTGGGAGAAAAATGAGTGAAGCCACATCAGATATGGCTGTACATCATGCAAGCGACTTTATTGAATCCGAGCTTGCTCATTTATGTGTTCATTAAATCCTAGCTATTTTTATTAAGAGAAAAAAAAGCTGAATCCAACTCCTTTCTTTGAATCTGAGTTTTCATTGAGTCCGAGTTCTACTGTAATGTAAATGCTTTAGATGTCACATGGGGACAAGAAGCGAAGTTCCACAGAGGCAGAAGAATGTCATGCATAACAATGACAAACTAATGTAAATTATGAACGCGAGAAATATGTCACAATGTGCTCAAATGAAATTATCATAATGTTGTGTCTTTTTATCTGAAAAACATTCCTTTTAATGATTAAACTTCTATCAATTTATCGAAATGGAACCCAAGAGCCCATAGTTTCTAATGGCGACCTGACAGATCTCTCTTGAAGTAGGTAGGCCTACCTCAGACAGCCCGTTCTGAAGGCAGAAAGTCAAGGCTGAAGCCAGTATTTGGACAAATTCATCTATTAGCTGGTTTTACTTTTTGTTGACTCTAATAAAAATTATACCACTGACTACGAGGTGATGGATTTTTATTAATTTTTTTAATTTTAATGTTCATGTTATATAATATTGCAGTAAATTTGAACCACCTGTGGTAACTATTTGAAGTTTAGTCTAAATTATGTCGTGTACCTATTCTACTTTCTCTCGCTGTTCCCATAGCCCCCCATCCAGCACCTCCTACCCATCAATGACATTTTTCTTTGTATTTTCAATAGCTGCAAGGTATGATGACAACCTGTTTTATGCTCTGGATGAAATGGGTAAGCAAACTGTGGACAGCACCGTTGGTGTAATCCTTTCCAAGGCCCCTGGACTTGAACAAAGATTAGGTATGTAAGCAATAAAAAGTCTATGTTGAGAGCATATTAGTTTTTAAATACCTTGTAGGACAGAATATACCCAATTTTGTAATCATATTTCATTGTGTTCGTTCCCAAACTGGAAGTAAATAACTTTTTTTGACAGTTCACTATTTATAAGATTTTTATGAATATGACCATGTACGTTTACTTAATCAATATGGATTGACATAGTTTACCTTCCATTTATGCCAACTGTTTGTTCTTTTTTATAATATTGTATTGTTAAGAAGACTTATCATGTTTACAGACATCATCAAGCCTTATCTTTTCCAATTGGATTCTTAAAAGCCAATACTCTCCATGTCTGTTCATTGACCTTTGCCAACCTGCCTGCTGCTATGATGATCTTCTTCTAACATTTATTACCTCTTCTATTTTGTTTTCCCAATATTCTCTGACTCCTAACCTGACAAAATTTTCCCAGCAGAAGAACACCGTGTATTTCATTCAAATTCTCTGAATTTGTATTATTTCAGAGCAAGGCATTTCAGTGGCTGAGATTGGTAGTGGCACAGGACGTGTTCTGGCTAAGATGGCACAGAAGTTTCCAAACAGCAAGTTCACAGCAACTGATATCCGGCCGCACTTGGTGGAGAGGATGAAATCTCTGTATAGTCACCTACCCAACATACATTATCGTGAAATTGATATCTGTGCTTTCCCAGAATCAATTGATGAGCAATACGATTTTATATTCGCTATTGATGTCATCCATGATTTACCTTATCCTCTTAAAGGTCTTAAAGTGTTGAAAAAGTATTTGAGAGGACCCGATGGGACTCTCATATTTATAGACATGGCCGGGCCTGGCACACACGAAGCAAATGTTGGTGACCAACAAGCTGCATCTTTATACGCCATCAGCACTTTTCTTTGTGTTCCAGAGAGCTTTCAAGAGAGTGACGGTGTTGCATTAGGTGCATGCTCATCTCGGGATGAATTGGTCAAGTTAGCCACTGATGCTGGTTATAATGTTGATCCTATTATTCTTGAAAAACACGGAGCTCTCTTTCTGTGTAAGCTACCTGTATAATAAGATTGTCAGTAGATGTCATATTGGTTTTGTTGGGTTTTTTTGTTGTTTTGTTTGGGGGGGGGGGGATGTTCATTTATGATATGGGCCTAATTTTCAGTCAAATTTTGTCTCTAAGAAAGCTCACATCAAAATGAAGGGAAATCTTGTCATCATGTAAGAATTTTACTATGAACGAAAATCATGCTATTCCTAGGGCTATTAACAAAGTTTGATAATTGGGTCAAAATTTTGCATGAATTATGGCCCATTTGTTAAGCCAACATATTATGTCTGGTTCGTAATGCCTTATTTGTAGATTTGGGGTTTTTACATTGATGTTTCATTCACCTATGCATGGATTAGCCGGGTTTTTTTGCTGCACCTACCTTGGTCATTTCTCTACTATAGCTTAACTTAGCCCTAATTTCTCAGAATGCTGGGAAGCTGTTACATAATATACACATGCAATTTCTGTTGAAATGGAAACGGGTTGATAAATATAATATGTGGTAACAGTACTGGATAGTCCTATGTGCATTTACATAACTGCAGACTTCCCATATATATATGATTGAAATGTGAAGGCTAGAGATCTACCGCTGAACACTTATGTGACATATGAAATAAACATGTCCTTGGCCTACACTGTTGCTCTCGGCTTAGTAGAGGTCGATAACAAATTTCTGTCATTCTCTTTCTCTCTCTCTCTCTCTTCCCCCCCCCCCCCTCTACCTCTCTCTTTCTCTCTCCCTTCCTCTGTTCCTCTCCCTTTCCCTCTCTCTCTCTCTCTGTCTCTGTCTGTCTCTGTCTCTCTCTCTCTCTCTCTCTCTCTCTCTCTCTCTCTCTCTCTCTCTCTCTCTCTCTCTCTCTCTTTCTCATATTATACAATGGCTACTTTGGTAAATGAAACTTACAGCCATGTTTTCTTAGATCTGCCCACGGTTGTTCCAATTATTTCCGCTGTTTATGAATTTTTGATGCTTTGTGCATGTTCTGAATTCAAAGAATATATATTATATATATATGAAGAAAATTCAGGACCTGAAAATTAAATCCTATGTGGGTGTTTGTTGTGTGTGTGATACTGATAGACAGTAGAAAGAGAGAGGGGTGTATGTGCTGGCCTGCCAAGTACTCTGATAAAATTGGCAGGTCTTCTAAATAATTTAAGTAAGGGGTCATTTAATTATAAGGTCACTCCAAAAACACGGCAGCATTTTTAGTTTTCAAATTCAAGCAGTCAATTTTTATGCTTTTCTACTATGTTTAGAGTCTCTCATGTCTGTTGTAATGTAAATGAATCTTTCTAGCCCTGCGTCTCACCAAAAAAAATCAGCCCAGGCATTCTGTTTCTCCCAGAGTGTTAGAAATGTACAAAATTTTATCATCTTTCCTGTCCAAGTCTTGCGTCTGATCATCTTCTGAACCTAAAAGTTAGGAAAAATTGCATTAAACTTGAAATGAAAACTATAAACTTTCTGTTTTTAAGTTTTATATTGAAGCAGTGCTTTTGATTAAAAGTTGACCTTTCAAGAATGGCCCAGCAGACAATTGAGAAGAGGGCACTGCTGATAGGTCCTATTCTTCTTCACTTCCCCTCTTTGTTTCTGTCTGTCTGTCTTACTTTTCCCCAACACTATATGGTCGCTTTTAAGCACGAGAGGCTATCCCAAACAATGCTGTTTTGAGAAAATCTAAGGTTAAGTTTTTGCCCCTTGTTCAGTTTCTTCAAAAGACAAGGAGAGTTTGCTTTATAACCAAAAAAACATACACGCCAATGAAAACAAAATTCTCCTTAAGGTAGGGCAATGCCCAATTTTGGTGTATGTCAAGATTTCTGGAAACCTCTGAAATCTGGGTTAGCCCGCTTGTCCTGAAAGGCGACCATATGTCAATTATTGTGTCAATATGCGTCTCTTTACTCAAGCAAAACAATTGAGATTTCTTTTTTTCTTTGTTGAACACTTGTATGTTGTGTATGTGTTGAACGGCAAACTTTGTATCCAATTTTTATCTCGTAATTTGTGTTAAGCTTTATTTTGTGACTTAATTGCTGCTTGTTACTCTTTTCTTGGGTTTTATGTTCTAGTAACCTAGAGATGGTTAGGCCTATGTTGTATTGCAGCTTGTCTTTTATTGAATTCTTTCTCATAATTTTTTTTTTTTTTAAATACTTACTTCTACTACTAGTACTATATATATATGCTTTTTTAAAAATTATTGTTAAAAAGATATTAAAACTGAAGTCATTGTCTAGTTGTATTAATAGTTGTCTACAGTATTATTTTATAAGAGGTTGTCATTTAATTACATCAGATCAGTTGGAAGAAGCAATTTTTTATGTTTTTACAGTAATGTTTGAGAGAATTTATTTTTGTTCACTGCTCTGGAAGTTTTTTTAAATTCTGAACTGCAAACTGAAATAGGTGGTTTTTGTCTCTTTTTGGTCACTTTTAAGCACAAGGGGGCTATCTCGAAAAATGCTGCTTTGAGAAAATCGAAAATACAATTTGTGTTCCTTGTTCAGTTTCTTTAAATACAAGGAGCATTTTCGCTATAATCAAAAAAATGTACACACCAATGAAACCAAACTTCTATAGGCAGGGCAATGCCCACTTTTGGTGCAGATCAAGATTTCTGGAAACTCTCGAAATCTGGGCTAGCCCGTTTGTCCTTAAAAGCAACCATTTATGTATGTTTGTGACTAGATGTACCATACTAATACTTATACTGCTAAAGTTGAAAAGAATTTATGATCAAGATTAGGATGGAGGATGTGCATTCAATACATTTGAATTTATTCAATTTACGTTCTGTTGAGCAAAAATCTTAATTCCAAGTTACATTTAACATACAGTGCCATATGTCTGATCTCTCTCTCTCTCTCTCTCTGAAGCTCAGTGTCTCATTTCTTTCGGGGGTTGTTTTTTTAAAATGTATCGTACATGCCAGTTTGAGAGTGATATGCTCCAAGGTGCAAATAAGAAAATGTCTCCTGTGCTTCTTCTTGCATTGGCGTTTTATCTTGGTTTTTCAATAGCTTTTAATTCTATCGGTGAAGAACTTGGACTCTCAATTGTTTTGTGGCTTGACATTACTGGGTTTTTTATCCCCTCCGGACTGAATTTTTTGTTTTGTGCACCCCATAGGGGGACTCAGTAGCTCAACTAGTATGGTGCTCGTCTGTCAGCCAGGAGTACCAGAGTTTGATCCCCACTAGTTTGTGGGGTTTTTTTCATGTTTTCTACACCCCCTGATCCTAGGGCAGGACGGATCAAACACCTATTCTTTTTTTGAGGATGAAAAATTTTGCCGTTGCCATGTGAAAGTGTCACATGTGAAGGCAGTTCTGAAATAAAAAAGAGAAGGCCCTTCAAGCGGATGTTTTGGAAAAAATCAAAATTAATTCCTGCCCAGAACTGAAGCCCCTCTAGTTAGTATGAATAGACTAATACAGTAGCTTTGAAAACGGCTTGTGGCTGCCCGTCAGACAAGGGATGATTCTACATTTTTTGTAGAGAAAAGGGTCCTGTACGTAAAAATCAGTTGCATTGTGAGATGAAAATCTGACAAACAATCAGTTGCCCTCTGAGCTCTAGCTAGCCAGAGTATGCTGAAGAAGAAATAGCACAGTTTGTTACCGGTATATTATATTCATTTAATGTTTTTAAGCATAGTGTGGTTTTCTTGATGAATATGATAAAGTAGGCCTATGTCATACATAATGATAAAGAGAGCCAGCATTTCAAGTACATTATGTTATTATGCTTTTGCTTGAGATTATGTAAGAAGATGAAACCTGAAAAGCGCTTCCTTTACTCATGAAAGCTTGGCATCGAAATTTTCAGATTGAATAAATATCTTAACAAGCAGAAAATTTTGCAATACATTCTGGATTTCTTTTTATGTTTTTGCTTTCTTGTTCCTCTATTTGTTTGATAGTCTCCACTTAAAAATGAAAATTATAATCTGTGGGTTGTTGGCAGGTTCTCTGGTGTGGTTTGCTCCTTCGTGTCTATCCTAAATCTATCGTCCTGATCTCTCCTTTTTCTTTTTTTTTGTTAGTTACTTTTTTGAAAGGCCTCTAATCTTTGGCACTTATTTTTATGACCTTATTGTGTTGCAAGTGCCGTGAAATTCTCACTAAAACTTAAAGTAAAATGATAATCCACTCATTCTTTGAATTTAGTCTGACAAGCATGTACACATTTCTGTCAAAGTGAGTGCTAAATCTGCCAGTTAACTTCTTATTAATATTAGTTGTTATAAAGTGCATTAGAGCATACTGTAGAACATGGAATGTGATATGCAATTATTATTTGCCCAGAGGCTTGAGATCATGCATATATACATGATCAAACATTCATTTATGTGCGGTTGAGAGCTAATGCACCCCCCACCCACACACCCTCATTATATCGTTGTTCTTTGGAGACAACGTTTGCTTCTCCTAAAGACACAACAAACCTGTTCACTTGCAGTCTGGGACACAGACAGGGTTTATTGTTAGTACACTTGTACTGTAGCTGTTTCTGGGCAAGCCCAAAGCTTCCGGATAGCAACGGAAAATTTTCTTCTTTGAAAAATAAGTAAAATGTTCTCTTTTCGCATCCTTTCCTGCTCTCTATAACGTTCTGTCGTCTGCTTTCGTCTCTACTTTCTAGCCCCCCCCCCCCTCCACCCCTCACCTCTTTTGCCCCCTCCTCTGGGTTCCCGACTCTTTTTGCAGTCTTTTTACTGCTACTCCTTAGCTCCTTCTTACTGCTGTTTTTCAGCCACATCCCTGATATTATTGTTGGTAAGATCTCTACCCCTGTCTTTCTCGGATAAGAGAAAAAAATCTCGGAGGTCCCGTGTGCAAGTTGCGCATGTTAAAGATCTCTTGGTGTTCCATAATAGATAAAAGAGTAGGCTTCGGCGCCACCCGGGCAAAATTCAAAATTTCCTACCAACTGAAAATGCTTACTGTGTCCCGCGGGCTCATGACCTTATGCAGTTGCGAGCGCCGTAAAACGCCTTAAAAAAACATTTTAGAAAATAAAACCCAAAGCTTTTGTAGGCATCAGTGATGACGTTCAGCTTGAGGAGCATCTTGTAACTGCAGAGGGAACTGCTAGGTTTTGCATGAGCTGCAAGCCTCTTATTAGTAGTACTGTTGAACCTGCTCTTACGGCCATCTGTAGAGTTGAGGCAAATACATTACATGTTACCAGTATGTTCAAACTGACAATTTTCTTTGCCATTTTTTTTTCTCAAATTTTAAGGACCCTGTGAATGAGTAAGACGCCCACCTGTCTGAAAGGGCTCCTTGCTCCTCGATAATGGGTGGCCGTTTAGACAATTTTGAATGCACTTGAAACAGTTTTCCTGTCCTGTTAAGATTCTCTGTCGCCGTCACTGTCACAATCCTGCGACTGATTGCTCCAGGGTTTGTCATTTCTGATGTTTTGCTTTCTTCATTTTGAACTGTCCTGCCTAAGACGACCACCTGTTTAGGATGGTTTTGTTTTCTCCTCGACAATTGATAGTCGTGTTTGACAGGTTCGACGATATCCTTCTACGAAGTAAAATGAATCGTATGAAAACATGTTCCTTGGTTTGCTTTTGCCACCTTGACCATCCGAAGGCCTATAAGTATACTTG